AAACCACTTCAGGCTTTCTGAAGGGGCTTAAGGGGCCCAGAAGACATTGGGTTGGGAGGGTGGTTCTCTGAGGTTCTGACCAAATAGGACCTTATCCAACAGCTGGGTTAATGACTGGAAACCAATTTAGCACACACGTTCCAGATGACAGGTCAAAATAACCATCTTGACATTAAGGTTATCTCATAATGACCTTCGTAAATAAGGTCAAAATCTAGAGGGGATCCCAGACCCTGCCCTGCGTTCCTAAGGGCTGTAATGGCGAGGGAGTATAGGAGGGGGTTTCCACAATGCTGTGAACCCAGTAAGGAAGTATATTTAAGGTCCCAGCACAAATTAATTTTCCAGTCTGAATTCCAGTCTGATAATGTCACTGAACCCAATCTTCAACAACTGAGGGAAAAATCCTGTCCCTTCCTTTATATCATGAGAGCATATTTGTGTTTGAACTTATTACTCCGCTGAAAAATACGTTATATTTTATTAACAACAATTTAAACAGAAATCTGATCTTATCAATCTGCTATGCAGAAACGGTTTTACAAGTGACTGCTATTGTTTTCATTTTAGCCCTGCGGCTTGATAAAATGTCATTTTCATGCAAAAGAAATGTTCACAGTGTCTACCCCAAGCTCTTAGAGAGCTGGCTGATCAAGATTCTGCCCAGCGACGCAGGAAGACAGCAACCAAAAATCCAATTATTATTTATACAAGTTTCCGTGAAGCAGGTTTACATCAAGCGCCAGCAACATCCTGCATAAATCTAATAATATGGCAAAACAGCCATAAATACCAATGATGCTGCAAAATTTTAAAAGCTATTATTCAACAAAATTAGTATGGAATCCTGGGCACTTAATTTAGACTGGAATAACCTGGTATACATACAAACAAGGTCCTTCCATGAGTCGGCTCCGTGGAGGAATGAGGGTGTTCTCCTGACCTCTGATACAACTCACCCAGTTCCAGCTCTGCTTACCAGTGTGTAGTGGTTAGGGGTTGGAGTAGCTACTCTCTCAGCCTTATTTACTTCACAGGGAGGTTGCAAGGACAAATTGAAGGATGGGAGAAGCATTTGCAGCACTATTCCTTGGAAGAAGGGGGCAATGGAAGTCAGAGAGATCTTTAGTGACGTAACCACAGGTGCTTCCAGATCGTACTTTAGCCAAACGGCTTTGCTCTCATGAGCAACAAGACCCGGAGACCCTGGCTCTAAGGACAGGAAGGCAAGACTCATTAAAGCCATTTGCTGATAGACAAAAACTCTCCTTTATTGATTCCCCAATCATCCTTTTGGCTGCAACAAGGAAGCAGGGTGTCCCCAGAGATCTTACAAGGTTTTGCTGGGGGGAGGGAAGAGCAGACAGAGATTTTCAGCTCCATGAAAGTGCTACATCATCCCATGAAGCCAGGTCAGTTAAGAAGTCCACGGGCACAGCAATAAACAGCTGGCCTCTTCTTCATCTTATCCCCACGACATACAGCACTTAAGACTTCTTCCTACCCGAGTCCCATGAGAGCTAGAGCAGATCCCTCCCAGCCCCCAAGAGAGCAAGTTGATCACAGGGTGTTACAGCCATAATGTCCCTAAAGATGATCTATGCAATAGATAAGCTACCTTGAAAGATTCTTTAAAGCAAAAACTTGCTTCCAGCTGTTCAAGACAATTAAGTCATCACATGACAAACGTGGTATGTTTTCAACTAGGTGCCCAGAGACCAAAAGAGAGAAAAACTTAGTCTATGCAACTCTGTGCCTAGAACCGATTTCTGAATACACAAAATAATCATATTTTTGCTGTGTAACACTATACCTGACAATCTTATCAATACAGTCAATATCTGGCCATTTCTTGCCTTTCCTTTCAGCAAGAGCCTTCATCGTCTTTATTCTTTTCCTGCAGGAAAACTCCCACCGCCCTCTGTTCTTCTCAAGGCAAATCATTCTTTAGTGTACCTAACCCAAATTTCTTTCTTTCTTTACATCCCCCAGTTCTTAGACCACTGTCTTGACCAATAAAACTGAAAAACTTAAACAAAACCCTTATCTAAAAACACCTACAATTCTCTGAAGCCTCTAGAACCAGAATCCTCTAAGAGGAACTGAACCTTTTGCTCTAGAGCCGCTAGAGGAAACACAGTCCATTTATCCAAGTATGGCATAATCCATTTCAGCCTCAACTGAAGCACATAAAGGATACTGCAAGAGAACACATGCAAGTGAGTCGACTAACTGGAAGGGGCAAGCGCATAACCAATCTGAGAAAGGGCCTATCCCAAATTCATGTGTGTAACTGTGACTGACATAGAACATTTGATCTGAAAATGGAAGTGAACTGAAACAAGCAAAAATGAGACTGACAAGATGAGAGTATCCACCTTGAGTCCCAGAGAGAATGGCAGGATATAACATAAATAAATAGAATCTTTAACTTTGTTGTTGTTGTTGCTCAGTTGCACAGTCGATCCCGACAGGAGAAGGAAACCTCCCGTCTCTAAAGCGTCTTTAAAAAGCCCACTCCCGGCTTACAACAATCCCCATGGACCAGGTCACGCCAGGCCCTCCTGTCTTCTGCTGTCCTCTGAAGTTGGCTCAATTTCATGTTCGTTGCATCGATGACACTGTCTAACCATCTCATCCTTTGCCGTCCCCGTCTTCTTTGACCTTCAATCTTTCCCAGCATCAGGGTCTTCTTCTCCAGTGAGGGCTCCCTTCTCATTTGGTGGCCAAATTATTTGAGCTTCAGTTTCATTATCTGGCCTTCCAGGGAACAGTCAGGGTTGATTTCTTTTAGGATTGACTGATTGGATCTTCTTTAACTTATTCTACCCTTAAAACAGGAGATTGAGAAACAAAGCTCTGACTTGTCCTAGATCTGCTCGCTCAAAGAAATGTGGCTGGGTTAGTAGCACCCATTGGTAGTTACCAAGGAGAGAGGCAATGAGAGAAGAACCATCACACTCAGGAGGTCTGCCAGGAGTGTTCTTGAATGCAAGATCCCACACAAACCACATTCTGAGTGCCCGGTTCAGGTCACTCAACTTCATCCAATACCTCAGAAGACTTTAGTTACACTCCTAAGCACACTTTTTTTGAAAGCTGATTATTGCTTTAGTATAAATCACCTTAAAATATCGCACTGCCATTACAAAAAAAAGGTACGCCACAAAATCCACTTGAGCATTACTGGATATGGTCTCATCCATGCATATGCCAGTATGCATAACTGGAAGCGGCCATACAAGAAACACAGAGGACCTCCCTGTGACAGTTATCTGCAGATATTCAGTTCTGTCCAGAATGATTTCCCTCGTAACATTTTGCCAAGTAATTAGGCCATAGGAAAGAAAAATCTAAATTCCTGGGAGACTATATTAGAGAATAGAAGATTTTATTATGCTCATGAAGTTTTAGCACAGAATATTTGGAGTCTCAAAGACTCATTTTTATTAGAAGTTATTGCTTATGAAACTACCAAAGGAAGACATGGCGGGCATCAATCAAACATCAGTGACACAGCCAAAAGGTCAGCCTGCTAGTCAACCACTTCAGTTCAATATTACTCAAGAGAAATTTTACCAGCGATGAATGAACCATCAACCAATCCTTACATCATACCCAGGAAATGGACAGTGCAATTAATCCTAAACAGATGAATTGCTCACCTTTGCTCACTTTAATTTTTGTGCTATCCTGAAATCCTAATTCATAGATTAAACTTCTCTTGTCATTGGTTTTGATCTTGCATACAGCAAGCCATCAGTATAGCCTACGGTGCTTCAGGAGCACCAGCATTTCATATTTAAAATGGGGGAGGGGGTAGATATTGGCTTACGTCCAACATCTGGTGAGGTGGAATCAACCAAAATCATCACCCTCTCTTCCAAAGGCGGAAGTTCCCTTAAATCTCCGGAACTGTGTTGATGGATATAAGCCAAAACATTCATTAAAGGATCCAAGTAATTAAGCAGTCCCTTTCAATATAATTCTTACAAAATCTCTCTCAAGCATTTTTTCCTCTTCATTCAAGAATAATTACACATAAAGACAGGTAATCTTCTCCCTCATTGGCATATAAGGGAAGACAGAACTACTTTTAGGTTTCTAAAAGTCGTGAAGAGAACATGCATAAGAAAAAACGTTAATGCATAATAAAAGCCTTAACACTTCAGAGTGTTCTTGCACCTGAATCTTCCAAGACAGCTTCCAGCAGCATCAAATTTCTACACAGTGACGAATGAACACTGTTCCTGTCTTTTAATAAGATGTGCAATATTCTGCCAGTAGCTCAAAAAAGGCATTACTTTGAAAATAGTGAAATGCATTTTTATAGAAGATATATATGCAAGTGTTGCACAACCAGACATCAAATATTCGTTTCAAGCTCGGTTTTCTTATTTCACTGCAAATATCGACAGTTAATTAGCTGTTTAAATCCCCCCAACCAGACATTGTTTCATCCCCATTCAAAACATACTTAATAATTATGAAGTACCCTGACCATATGGATGGTCGTGAACAAAAATATCTTACACAACAAGGTGCTAATAAAAATGTTTTAAATGCACACATTATCTTGTAATCCATTTTGATTTTACACACAGCTGGGGTTTTTTAAAATACATGAATGGTGAACAATATGATCACATAGCCCAACAAAAAAAATTAAACCTAAACAAAGACTGCTCTGATCTGTCCAATAAAACATTCAAAAGGAGACCCACTCCTGTAGATCAGCATTTGAGACCTGAAAGAGGTCCCGAAACCAAAAGGTGCCGTTTCTCAGCCAGAAACCCAAACGCTGGCCAGCCGCACCCCTTTTGCCATATTAAAACGCCCAATGCAGATGCAATCCATCGATCAGTTCAGCCAAAGTGTTTAAACTGACCCGGATTCATTCCCACTGGCTCCCGCGGTGCTAAACGGGTTCAAAATCCAAGTCCCCCGGGCCTAAATTCGCCCAAGGACCACTTTCCACGTTACACCCACCGGCTACTTACCAGCCGCAATGCTGAGCAGCAAGGTGGCATTGGAGAAGAGCAGCGCCAGCAAAAGGTGCAGCGAGGCAGTCATATTTGGGGGGTGGGGAGGACAGCCGGGTGAGGGAGAGGTACGATTTCTTCTGTTAAAAAAAGCAACGATCCCGACAGGAGAAGGAAACCTCCCGTCTCTAAAGCGTCTTTAAAAAGCCCACTCCCGGCTTACAACAATCCAGACTGAAAGGGCCAACGGCAGAGGAGCGGCGCTGCCCGTGGTGGTCTTACTCCATGACGCCAGTCCGTCTTCATCTTTCAGGTGCTCCGCGGCTTCCCTTCCTTGGCTTTCTTCTACAAAAAGGGAGGTGGGGAAAAGAGAGTTTCTCGGTTCTCAAGCCCAGCAGCTCCTTCCCTCTCCCAAGACGGGCAGTCACCATTTAGAGCAGGGGGGGGAACCCATAAAACAGAACACGCACACCTATATGAACCCCAGACTTACTCCCCACGCGTCTTCCCCGTACCAAAGCAGCCCAATTTTAAAGGCATCCTTTCCCAAAGAGGCGAAGGGGGGGGGGGGAGAAAACCGATTGTCACTCCGAAGCAGCTTCCTCCAAAATGACCCCCCTCCCTTAAAAAAAGAAAGAAGGCAGATACGGATTGCGGGTTTTCAAGGCCTAGGCTTCCAAGAAAAGGGGGTGTGGGGGGAGGAAACACCCCCCCAATTTTTTTAAAAAAACCACCCAAAATTTCCTTTAAAATATCCCTGCTGGGAAAGAAGAGGCGAGCTCCCTGCCCAGTCAGTCACTTCACATTTAAAAATAACAAGGCGTCGCCTCCCGGGCAAGGAATGTCCAGCGCCTGCTGTTGCCCCATGACGGCTCTTGGAAGGTGGGGGACGACGGCACGGCGCTCAGCCTAGGCGGGGAAGACGGAGACCCGCGGCTCCGAACCAGAAGTGGGGAGGCAGGCGGGAAAGGCCTCCTCCTCGGCGTCTCCGGCGCTCCTCGGCATCCACCGGCGAGGCCTTTTTCTCCCCTCCCGATCCCACAGCCTCCCTCGGCTGGGAGCGACGACGGGGACGCCTCCTCGCCTCCGCCTCCCCTCACGGCGCCTCGTCGACGGGGCGGCCCGTCATGCCCCGCCTTGTGGGGTCCTCCAACGCCGCCGCCGCCGCCCGTCGTCCTCCGGGCAAGGGTGTGTGGCGAGGGGGGGGTCCTCTCTCGCGCCGCCTCCCCGTCCCCGGCGGCGGCTCTCCGGCTGGGCTGGAAGCGGCGCTCCGTCTTCCCTCCCTCAGACCAGACACAAAGGGGAGTCGCCGCTCAACTGCCAGCCTCAGCGCCCGGGCCACGCCCACGGCCCCGCCCACTCCTCCTCCTCCTCTCCCGTCCCTCCTCACTCCGGCTCTCACCCCAGCCGGCGAGTCTCTCGGATCATAGAGGTTGTCTGCCCCGCCCCTCGCCCGCCCTGGGATGTGGCGGAGGATTCCGTGTTTGCCGCGGTCCGGCGGCTGCGGGGAAAGGTGCTCGGGAAGGGAGGAAAGAGAAGAGGCGTTGGCTGCTCTTCTTCGGGCCCCGACCGACCGCTCTGGGGATGTCATTCGTATAAGTTCTTGCTCTCGCCTGCTGTGAAGGGATGGGATGGGATGGGGGGCGGTGTCTGGCTGCCTCGCGGGATAGGGATGCCAGCCTCCAGGTGGGAACTGGAGAACCCCCGGAGCCACAGCTCATCTCCAGACCGCAGAGATCTGTTCCCCGGGAGAAAATGGATGCTCGGGAGGTCGGACTCTGCGGCATTGTGTATCCCTCTGAGCAGTGTTCCCTCTAAGCTGAGTTAGTGTGGGCTAGCTCACCGTTTCTTAGCCTCCGGCCCACACATTTTTGTCCTAGCTCAGGAAGGAGGGCTCCAGAGCAAACCAAATTT